TCACCTCAGCCTCCCAAAGGCGCGGGATTACAGGCTGAGCCACCGAGCCCGGCTGTCATTATTATTACAAAAAATAAACACTCTCCAATGACAAAAAACGAACCTTGTGGTATTAACTCAATCAATTATCAGAGAGACAGTTACACCTAAAATGGGAGGAAACAAAATCTTCCCTAGACCTTCTAAGAGCTAACTACCAAAACTAAGAAAGTAGACTAAGAAGAAGGAAGCTTGAAAGCTTGATCTTGCTAAAAATAGATGAGATACTAAGTCTAAGATAGACCAAGACTGAGGAAAAAAAGACTGAATTATATGCCTAACTCACTTTTTAAAAAATACCAGAGATGCTTGTTTGTATATCCATTATATGTGACTATTTTTTTCAAAATTTGAGTCAGAAACTCTGTCGCCCAGACTGGAGTGCAGTGGCACAATCACTGCTCACTGCACCCTTGACTTCCTAGACTCAGGCGATCCCTCCACCTCAGCTTCCCCAGTAACTGGGACTACAGGGACACACTACCATGCCTAGCTAATTTTTTTTGTTTTAATTTCTTCTTTTCTTTCTATTTGAGTTGGAGTCTCACTCCATCACCCAGGCTGGAGTGCAGTAATATACTCACAGCTACCCCAGTGTCGACCCACTGGACTCAGGCAATCCTTCCACCTCAGCCTTCCAAGTAACCGGAACTACAGGTGTTGTGCTACCACACCCAACCAATTTTTTTATTTGTTGTAGAGATGAGGTCTCACCAAGTTGCCCAGGCTGGTCTCAAACCCGAGGGCTCAGGCAATCCACTCACCTTGGCCTCCCAAAGTACTGGGATTACAGGCTTGAGCCACCATACCCGGCCTTTGTTTTCATAGAAACAAAATCTCACTATGTTGCTTAGCTGTTCTCAAACTCCTGGGCTGAAGTGATCCTCCCACTTTGGCCTCCCAAAGTGCTGGGATTACAGGCTTGAGCCACCATACCCGGCCTTTGTTTTCATAGAAACAAAATCTCACTATGTTGCTTAGCTGTTCTCAAACTCCTGGGCTGAAGTGATCCTCCCACTTTGGCCTCCCAAAGTGCTGGGATTACAGGTGTGAACCACCATGCCCAGCCTCAAATGACATATCTTAATTTGCAAATTTCTCCATTTCTGCCTTTAACACAATACCAATAACCACTTTACACTGAAATTATTTTTATAGCCAAGCATTTGCTTTCTCTCTGAAAGCCATCTTCTTAAAAAATAATAATAATAACTTTTTATCATTGCAAAACAGTATATATACATTTTAGAAAGTTAGAAAGTACACATAAAATAAATAAAAGCACCACATTCGTATTACCCAGAGATCACCACTCTTTACTCTTAAGCATATATCTTTTTTTTTGGTGATTTTTAAACATGATTTCCAGGATGAATTGCTTACTAGGCTGATGTGTTTTCCATTCCCATACGGTACTGCTTTTTAGGGTCCATTACTTAAAAATAAGTATGTCTCTGGTTCGTAGGGCCTTTAGTGTATCCTTCATAAGAAGTTGTTGCTGATGAGAAATTGGCACAAGACCTTCTCACGTGCATGACCAAAGGATTCCAGTTAAGTAAGACTATCTTTCTCCCAACTTCAGTGACAAACTTTTCTTAAAGGTATTCAGAATGCTTTACAGAACAGTTAGAAAACCAGTGTGCACTAGCCTCCACTCTCTTATGGGGGAACAATGGATGCAAACTCATGCCTGCAGGTTTTACTTTGACCAAGAACAAGAATTCAGTGAAGCTAGGATTGCCTCTAGCTGGATAGGCATCTCTTCATCAAAAAAAGGCTCAGGGCTCTAATATATATCTCCAACCTCTTAATCTCATTACAAAAACCTGAGTTTGTTCTGTGGGGTTAATTCCAACAGATTTTCCTTGCTTTATTTTATTTTATTTTTTTTTTGAGTTGGAGTCTCACTCTGACACCCAGACTGGAGTACAGTGGCCGCTCCCAGCCACTGCAGCCTTGACCTGCTGGGCTCCGGTGATCCTTCCGCCTCAGCCTTCCAAATAGCTAGAACTACAGGCGTGTGCTACCACGCCCAGCTAATTTTTGATTTATTGTGGAGATGTGGTCTCGCCAAGTTGCCCAGGCAGGTCTCGAACCTGCAGGCTCAGGCAAAAATCACTCACCTCAGCCTCCCAAAGCATGGGATTACAGGCTGAGCCACCGAGCCTGGCTCAGAATTATTTTTCTGTCACTGAGGCCAGAGATGCTTTCAGTAAATGATTCTAAACCTCCTAGTACTGATTAATTTGTATGAATAGAACCTGCAACCAGAGACTCTTGGAGGGTAATGAAATCTACAGAGAATATAGGTTACACACAATGAAGACAGAGAAGAAATGATGGCTGGATAGTCCATTGGAGGATTACATGCATAGATAGTTCATTTTTTCCCTCAAAGGGCCCGTCAGATTGAGACTTCTGAGATGGGGGTTTGTCTAAGACTAACTGGCCTAGGAATGACAGAGATGGGATGACCAGGAGTGAAGTGATGGTCTTGCCTCTTTCTCGCCTGCAGCCTACAGGAAGGTTTTACCTGGAAAAAGAAAGCACCAAATCAGCCCGGGGAGAAGAGTTCCAGAGAGTGAGTCAAAGCCTTCTGTGTCCTGCTGTGAATGTCATCCTCATAATCAGAGGAAACCTACTTAAGTGAAATCCATTTTTGACCTGTCAATCATTAAATTTTTTAAAAAACTGTTAGTACTGAATGATAGAGGGGGTTTAGTGAAACAAATGCTTTTCACTTTCTTGCTAGGAGGGTAAATGAGTATATCCTTTTGTTAAGTGAAACAAGGGTATGAGTATTCCGGTGACTACTATAAACAAGTAAACATTTGGTTTAAGCATCAATCGCTTGTGAATCTGATTGGTAAGCACAGTCTCAGGGTACACTGACAATATTTGTGGAGAACCAGCCATCCCAATGTACTGCCCTGATCCTCTGAGATTGGTGTATG